ATATTCCTTGATAACTGAATTTAGAGATTGTTCGTGAGTCCGGCCACGAGTCCGGCCGTAAATTTGCCCGAGACGTCCTAGGTTTCTAGTGCTGAAACAGTTAAAACAGCTGAAAAACACATTGGTTCACTAAAAGGGGTCCTATTTGTGAAATGCACATTTGTGTTTAACCTTTATCTTTTAAAAAATTTTTTAGTAATAGGCGCATGATTTTGTATGTGCCTGTGGGGGGCGCTAGAAATTCACTAGGGAGCCAAAGGGGGCGCCAGCCTGAAAAAGTTTGGGAACCACGGCGATGGAGGGTTAGCAACGTGTCGGTAGTTTCAGCTCTCACTAAAAGCAACGTGCATGTAGTTTTAACCCTCAACATTTGAGACCTGCAGATAGTTTAAACTCGCATCATTTGGTACGTGAAGGCAGTTTTAGTTGAGGTCTTCGTACGTAACAGCGAACATTTTAAAGTTGTACGTGGCGGCAACCATCAGTGCAAGACATTTTGCGTTCACTAGAACATATCCTTTCTGGGTAGGCTTGCGTGGCAATATTGCTCCAGTTACTCATGACAGGCGGTAGAGGGTTAGCAACGTGTCGATAGTTTTAGCTCTCACTAAAAGCAACGTGCAAGTAGTTTTAACCCTCAACATTTGAGACCTGCAGATAGTTTAAACTCGCATCATTTGGTACGTGAAGGCAGTTTTAGCTAAAACTTAAAATAATTCCACGATTAGCAATGTGTGGGTGTGTTTCAACTCAGCCCCCAATCAACGGCTCAATATTTACAAATGGCGGCTCTTTGTGGCATGGAGTCGTGGCTGCGCAAACGATCGTTTTCATCACGGCGAGTGAGCGCAACGCCGAATTGCTACCTGCCCCAGCTATCTATCAAAGTAAACCACCGCAAAAATTTATGGTTATGATAAGCGAGACAAACGAGCGCCGGTTAACTAACATTCCAGACTTTCTTGCCTAGCCTGAGCGAGCGTCGGCTCGAAAAAAGCTTACTGCCTTAAACCTTTAATCAAGCTTCCCTAAATCGTTTTAGAATTTTAACTTAGTCGTTTTAATGATGAAAAATATTATAGTCACTGACGTGATTATTCCTAATTGTTTTTAATCACGTTGTTTTCCAAAGGGCTGCAATGTTAATAAACCCATGGCTGATGACAACAAGCATCAATGACTAGTACTTACACCAGCAACCTACCCTCATAAGCAACCATCTCCATTAGCAACCAACCCTTCCACGAAATCAAGTCCCAACTCTCGAAAGTATTTAAAAATTTGCATCCAAATTTTGCAAGTCTGAAGTCGCCATCAACGAAAAAACGGCCAGTCTCTTCAAGCTCGAGCAGATATTTGTGGGGCCTTTCAATGGCCCAAGTCTTATCTCTCCATCTGACATGAATCTAGCGGATGGCGAGAGTGAAAATCTCTGCAATATTCATTGCACAAACATGAGCTACAGAAACGCCAGGCCGTATAAATTAGGGCTACATAAAGACTTTTCGCCTACACATCATACGGTTAGTATTGATTAAACTATGTACGTAGAAACATTTGAATGATATTGAACACTTCGAGCTGCGCAGCACATAAGCTTTTAACATGGAAAAGTTGAGTTATCAGGAGAGGTAGAACCTTGGTAGAATTTGGATGCACAATTGCATTTTATATTGTGACTATAACGAGGTTAATTATGTGGATTAATATCCTAATATTCTGGGTGATATTACTAGTATTCTTCACTATAACGTTGTCTTTTCCAATAACCAGGTTTGTCCATACTACCAGTACCACATCCACGAGGGTCCGTTTGCAGTATAATTGTGTTGGCAGCACGACTGAGTAAATCACCATTGAAGTGTGGCACGATTTCCTAACAGGATGTTTTACGGTGAATATTGACGTTTAGCCAATGTTATAAGGCAAAATTTAAACACTAAAGATGTAAACGACTCTCAATTCATAAGAAACATAATCGTCCCACGGAAAATGGTAGTCTATCGAGCGTCTCGGGTTTTCACTCGTGATAGTTTTAAAATAAAAATTGTCAATTATAAATGAATATTTCTACCAATATATGTACGTTAATTAATTAAAAAAAACTTATCAAGTACGTACGCCAGTTTGAGAACCAATGCAGCTAAGCATGCTCCTGAGCCCTGACGCTAACAAATTTTTTTTAAGGCGTCGCTTATACAGGGTGAACCAGAAATAAGCAACCCTTTTAATTTGTTAATAAATAAAAAACTAGGAACGTGTATGAACTACAATTAAATCAGTTGAGAATGGCGTCTTGTTACGGTGCTAGATTTATACTAAACAAATTTACCCCGAATCATTTCTGCTAAATAGGAGACTAACCGTGACAACAAAGAGTAAATATTACATTACACAGGCTATCTATTTAAGACCTTTTACCTGATTTAGCTAGTGAAGATTAAAAAATATAACTCAGTACTCACAGCAGTGAGTGTACGTGCCAGCGTAAACCTCGTTCACGCTACGTACACGAGTATCTCTTGCAACTTACGTACCGCGTTACGTCCAAGTCTAAACCTAGGGAACGTTGGGTTTTAAACTGAACCCCGTACATGTAGGTGCAAAACCAAACTACTTCCACGTTACGTACAATCCTTCACCTCTTTCGCGTTACGTGCAATCCTAAACCTCTCACGTTACCTAAAAACCGATATCTCTTTCCGCATACTTTCAAACCTCAAGTTCCCAAGTTTCGTGCAATACCAGAGCAATTATAAGAATATTAAACGTCTTGTTAATTTACAAGTCTAATAGCCTTCAAGTGAAATCAACGCAGGTGACTTTCCTATAAAACAATCCCATTTCAAGGTAGATGTTAACTTGAGATGAGACATTATCTTTGCTACATTCAAGTAATACCAAGCAAATTTAGAGAGGGTAGTGAAACAGTTTCTAAATTTATTAACATGATAATATAGAAGAATGCCAGGTTTCATCAGCACGTCGCTAGGCTGGTTATTCCTGTTATTTAATCGCTTGCAACTGGAGCTCTATCCGATGTTCAATCGTAGCACGCAGTACTACCTCTCAAGCAATACACTTTATTTAGTGTTATTCAGATAAGTTCGACCATTAATTAAAAATAACTAAATACAAACTAAATTAAGCAATGGAAAAATGGCGAGCAAATGCGCAGAAAATGTTCAATGAGACTATCAGCTTACAATAATAATAATTATTGTTACATCGCATGTTTGAACTCATACCTAATGTATGTGAACAGATGTATTAATTAGTTCAATCATGGTTACATAGCAGAAAACGGGACAAAATCACCTAATAATGAATAGAAAAAAAGCAATCGCCAGATTCACAGAGGAAATTATTTTCCATCATCAAGGGATGTTACAATCGGCAGTGATTTTACAATTAACACATGAAACGAAATAACAGATAACGTGAATATACAAGAAAATAGAAACTCCTTACCTGATAAAACGTGAGAAGATAAATTCAGTGAACGTCTCACATAAGTAATTAATAATAATTGAATCCAATAATTCAGAATGGTAATTACAAGCAAGCCTCAAGTAACATGGGATGGTGCAAGTTGGTTCGATTCTCAGAAAGACGTCAGAAACGCAGGAAAATTGTTCTCACAATGCATTATAATATCAATAAAACCAAGCTCGAAATTAAATAAATTACTAATTCGATTATTTAATGAATAAATTATTACATTGACGAAAGCTAGTACATTCCATGATTCAATTTTTCCAGGCAGAAACTTTGAAAGCCTTACTTTTAACATGAAGCATTTCTACAGCATCAAGTGGATTTAACAAACTTATAGTATCAGATTACCCCCTTAATTTAAGAGGCGATACCTAATTAGTTATCAAAGGGGCGGGACATTAAATACTTACAAACGTGAAAATCCTCGGCTAACAGTGACAGAGCGCATCAAAGCGCTAATGTAAGAGCACGTACTGGACACAAGTGATAACGGTAACAGCCGTGTGACAACAAATCCAGTCGTGTGACGACAAAACCAGTCGTGTGACAACAAATCCAGTCGTGTGACGACAAAACCAGTCGTATGACAACAAAACCAGACATGTGACAATCATGTCATTATTACAATTTTAACGCGTAAAGCTGTGATTTTTTAACGCATTAATTTAAACAAGTCTGGAATACATGACAGAAAGATGGGAAATCTTAGGCAAGGTTGACCTCGTACTTTACATCATTCACGAGTTATAATAAAAACATTATAATGAAGAACAGTGATGATGCGCTACTGCAATTGTGAACGATATGTATTTTTGTCGGTATCAAAAATAACATCATAGCTTTATTACAATGCTGAAAGAAATTTAGATGCGGCTCAGAATTCATAATTTACTCCCATTGAAGAAGCTCTAGCAGAAATTATTTATTCAATTGCCGACACAGTAATTGCACACAGCTCAGTACAGAAAATTTTTGTTATATGTACAACTAGTACATTATTTTTTATGTCACACCATGATCTCATGAAGTTGCTATTTATCGCTTACTTTATTCATTTGTACATTGAGGTGAACGAAACTTGATACAATTATACATAGAAACTCTTGGCTCCTACCACTGGCACCAGCCAAAACATTACAGGACCAACCACCGCCAACTACACGAACTTGGCAGCTGATCAAAGGACTTCATCTATGATATTTTTCAATAGCTGCCGCTAAAAGGTTCCTTCCGTTTCAGGATGGGCTACCGTTCCCGGGCTAGTTCTTAATGACATACATTTTGGCGCATGATTGACCTGCTTACTTGCGTACAATGGTTCAACATCGAGCAGTAGACTTCAGTTAAGAAAATATCAATAATTAAAGCAGTTAACCCGTGACTGACTGCAAAGTTTCACAATGTAATAATGGCAACGAGTGTAGGTAAAATTTTACCAATGCATTCTGGTAAGGGTTAACAAAGGATAATTTTTTAATAAAAATCGTTAGAAATTTTTCTTTAAATTCAGGCCACGCGTGGGCAGGAAGTTGACGATTCAATCATCAGCGATGAGGATGAACTGTAGCCCACTTGACCGTGGCAGAGGCTATTGCTGCTGTGCCTGCGTCAGGTAAACGGGCTGCCCGCCACCACCCTGAACAATAAAAATTAAAAGATAACTAAAAGTGTACTACATGAACTTGAGGTCTGGCAGAGTATACATCAAGTAAAAGTGATTCATACATTAAAGATAGATCCTCCTTAATAATCCGCTATATACAAAAATACCAGGTAAGATATAAAAGGAAAGTCTACTTTCATGTTTGTCGATCCAATATGACGTGTGAACCTGTTCATTTATTACGCCAATCAAATTCTAGTATTCGACTGTGGGAACTATTGACCAATTTGTTGTGTAAATGCATCACAAAATACACTTATATCAACATCAGAAACTGTACGAAGCATCCTTTTTAGTTCATCAAACAGCACGAAGCATAGTTTTTAGTTCATCTTTAAGGTAAATTTTGCTTTCTCTATTTACTGTAGTTGTAATGTCTGAGAACTTTTGTTCTTTCTGTATTGAGCTAGTCCGAAAAAAAAACATTTGCGATGAAGATAAGGGGAATTTACTTTGCGTTTTTTCAACTTTTAAATTTCTTGGTATCATTTAGACTTGAAAATTCCCTGGCACAAACATTTACTCCTACGCGGCGGCAAATTTAAAATTTTTCATTGCAAAATAAATCTGCTTCTCATTATTCCATTCAATTTACGTGTTTTTATTCAGTACCTACTCTTTATTACTTCCTACATTTTCAGGCACAGGGGAGATTCCAATAATTCCTCATGCATGTGGTTGCTATGTGGAAATTTGTAAGCAATAGAAATAGCAGGCAGATAGGCATCCAATGCACTGACTTGATTTCAATCCACAGAATGCCAAATTTCACAAAAACAAGTTGGTATTTAAATGAGTTACCATTGCTTTACAATTTCAATCCTCCAATTTCAATGCTTGTTTATTTATTAGTTTGATTCTAAACAGTTCTGGATTTATGTTTTCACCCAATAATTTGCTCTTATTAATGCAGTTCAAATTCCGTCAATTAACCTTGGTTTACTTTGATCTCTAGAATTATTCTGTAATTATTCACTGGATTGATGTGCGTTCTAAGCTAAGATAGAATGATTGCTCCTTGAGGGTTAGTGCTTTTAAGTTTCAACTCTGAGTCGAATAATGTCACTAACGTTGTGAAATTTGGTTATTCTCTTATTGATTATGTTGCTGTTATCTCTTTGTCGCCTTTCATATAGATGATTTTTATTTATATTTGAAGCGCATCCGTCCAATTGGACACATATATCCGCCTTAAATTCAGGCTGTGCTATGTCCAAGTAGGGTTCTTGTAACCTCTCAGATTTTTTTAACGATTGAATTTTTCAGTAATATGTTACGAATAAAATATAGTTTTTTTACACTCGCAAGGTAGCTGGTCACTAAAGGTTTAACATTACTTTCATTTCACTTTAGCTGTGCCCCGAGACAAAAGAAGAGGACCAAACCATTCCATTACGCCGGCAACAACACCTCAAGTGTATAATGGCGACATACCTGCTGGAGCTGGATTATTGATATATAATGTCCCGATATAATGACGACATACCTGCTGGAGCTGGATTATTGATATATAATCCGATATAATGACGACATACCTGCTGGAGCTGGATTATTTGTGGCTGCTGGACGTTCTGGGGCTGGGAAGTGACTGTGTTCTGGGTGGTCTGCTGGGCCACAACAGGACCCGTCTGAATGATGATAGGCTGCTGAGAAGCCCCCGACATCTGCATTCTGATCATTTGTAGATGCTGCGCCGTCAATTGAATCTGAAAACATGAGTATGAACATGAATTTTCGGTGGAAAATGAGAGCAGGGAAGATCGAAATTAACGTTGATAACTTAAAAAATATAACGCATGACCTAAATTTTGTCATGACCTGCTGAAGAGGTTAGGCAAACTTATGTGGAAACCAACATGAAAACTGTCATTATTATTCAGTATTTTGCATACTCATCATCACGCGATTGTCTCGAGACCCAAATGAATCAAAATATTGACACACTCGCTCCATAGAAACTGTTAGATACAAGTTTCACAGGAACTAGCCTCACTTCTAATATTATAATACTATTCTAAGAGAATTAGCCAGTAAAGTAATTCATTCGCATAATTATATTATTCATGTGTTCAATTGCATAGACAACATTCTATTAATTTCTAGAACTCGAGGGTGAGCGCATGCTTAATGCTTAATAAAATTCCCTTAGCACGACACCCTGACATTGTTCTGCTTGAATGTGTCAATAGCAGAATGCAATATTCTTGCTCTTAACAAAATCATTGCAGTTAGCACTGCACTCAGCAACAGCCTAATTGCACAAGTGCTCTTACAGGTATCTGCTGGATCTGGCCGTCACTGCCGAGGATTTGCTGTATTATTTGTATGCCCCCAGCAGGAGGAGTTGGAGTTTGTTGCTGCTGTGTCTGAGGATTGTGGATTTGAATGATTTGTGTCTGCGGCTGTTGTTGTTGACTGCTCGTGGTCTGATAAAAAGAAACAATTATAAATTAAATACTATAAATATAGTCAATATCTCAAAAATCAGTTGCAAAGAGGACACGGAAAATTAAAAATACATGGAGATGCAATGCCAACTGTATTTTGAGATTAATATATGCATTGAGCAAATAAATACTTCAGTGAATGGTAAGGCATCCTGTACTGTCTATGACAGATAAATCAAATGTAAATATCTATGCAATCAAAATGATAAGTGTGCAGACTAAGAAAATTATGCAAGATCACTTGATAGAAAAAAAAATGGTACACTAAAATTTAATTTGGTATCCTTTTAAGCTTTCCCCTAGATAACAAGTACTTGGAGTTCATTTAGAGGAACCAATGAATGCTACAGTAGTGCTAACCACTGTGCTGTCCAGTGATGCAAAATATATTATATGCATGCAATTCGTAAATATACATGCACACCATCTAAAAAGGTGAATACAGCGGTACAAAATCTAAAAGAAAAAAAAAAGCAAGATAACAATAAATAAAAGTAGTATATTGTCTTACTTGAAGTGCCTGTACTTGTCCATTGGGCGTCTGTACAATCTGTATGGTTGGTTGTGCTGGTGGGCTGTTGTTCTGTTGTTGTTGTGGCTGTGCAGCATTGGTTGTTGTGCCGGTATTGCTCGAGGCTTGTTGTAGCATTGCCTGGTAGTGCTGGGCAATTTGGAAGTAATGCTGCAACAGAAAAATAGTTATCAGAAATGTTTTTTGGAAACAGAGGCATTTCTAAGAGACATTTCATGCATTTATACAATTTTATGAACTCTAGTACAAAATATTTTTCAAAATAAAGCTATATTTACATTATCGTCAATATTCTATTCATTGTATAGAATGAAGAAAGGACAGAATAATTTTACTCTCATATTGGAAGGCATTTTTTATCTCATATTTTAATAATATTTTAAATCTACGCTTCATTGATAGATTGATGTAAATCAGTGTAGCATTGCTTAGCTCACAACTAACCTGATCAGTTGGCAGTGTCACACCGAGCCCAGACCTAGCTTCCTCCTTGACACGAGCAGGCTTAACCTCTTCCCGTGGCACAATGTCTATCAAGAAGTCAAACTGATCATATTTGGTGATGGCCATGGCGATGTCATTTCGCTGAAATAAAAATAGAGCTTTATTGTACAACTTCAGTGTTCTTTAGGACACGTAAGATTGTTGAAAAAAGTGATTATGCCAGAGCAGAGAGTTACTGTATAGCATTTCATTATATACCTAGACAAATTCCTCAAGCTTACACTATTAATATCATATTTAAATAATATAACTGCAAAAGGCTATTCAAATATTTGATAGGTATTTAAGATGCTGAGCGGTGAATCAAGCCAAAAAACATTCAGATGGTTTACAATATTCATGATATTACAGCTTCATTGCAATAATACCTGTAAAGTTCTCCGCTTATTGTCTTCAGTGTGTATCCAAGCCCTAAGCGTGAGTTCTGTGATAAAAATTTCAGCAGCCTTGCTGAACAAAGCTGGGGCTTCTGAGCTAATCATCTTGACATCTTCATCAAGTTTCATTATCCGCTTGATGCGAGCTAAAGGAAGCTCCTGCTGCCGGAGGTCATGCTGAAAAAAGTGATCAAAATATTGACAGAATTGAGTCATAATAATGAAATTAATTCATTAAACAAGCAGAAATTAGTTTAGTTAGTCCATCATAGGGAAGTTTTTCCTTAAACTGAAACACACTTAAGATTATTGATGGCAAACCTGAGTCATGGCTTTTATTTCCTCAGTTGCCTTTGGCCAGAAGTTGTTGAGTGCTTGCTGTGCTTCAGACATGTTATTAATGTCAACCTTTGAATCCACTTGCAAGTCAGTCACAACTCTGTCAATATAAGATAAAGCAAATTAATAAAATCTTCAACTGAAACTACACTAGTGGCATCTATCCATCAGATACATGTACATTCATTACATATTTGCCACCATGCAAGTAACTCAGACATGGTGATTGGTGTCAATGAAAATAAGGCCACAAGAGTACCGGTACAAGAAAAAATGCCCACAAATGCAGTCATTTCACCCATTCTTATGACCCTTTCCTTATTTCACCAGTGTAAAATTGGAAAAATTACATATTTTCCAAAATTTTCTGAAAATCATGCATGGACATCTTTTTACATGCAATTTTTTCAACATTTCTGAAAATCACTCATGGACATATATTTACCATTTTACCATAGATATTTTTTTCAATCTATCAAATATTCCAGATTGGATGCTAGCATGGGTCAAATAAGGCCATACTGTATAAATTGGACTGAGTCCAAAGTCCAAACATGAAAAAAATTAAGTTTCATCTATGATCTTTACTAATGAAATGTGGCAGCTCCAAAGTGACATATTGTTGGTAGATAAAGTTTTGATCTTGCAGCTCAATTGTGCACACTTCAATTGATAATTAGATAGGAGGTAATTCATATTGTCAAAATTTTATGGCTCCAAAAATGGCAAGAAAACTCTACTTGCAGTTTAGAAGGTGGATACCTATATTCCATGCCTGCTGGTGTATGAGATTAAAACGCCGTTGACTAATTTTCTTTTATAAACTAAGAAAAGCAGCACTGATTTTACAATAATTTTTAGGAATACAAATGAAATGATCATTTTTACCCAAGATTTCCAGAAAATTTGGCCCAATATAGGCAAGTGCAGTAACAGCTCCACGGCTCGAAAAATTCAGTCGCGGCTCGCCAAGTAGATAAATTCCATACTAGACAGCTTGATTTGGTAATCTCTTAAGAATAGGAAATACCTAAACAAAGAAATCTCAATTTATAACCAACAAATGTTTTTAGAAGAATTGATATTGTAGGTATAGCCTACATATAGAAGTATATGTCCTGCCAAAATATCAAAAGATCTATTTTATTAAATTGGCAGCCAGTTGCAAAATCTGTAGAATCAAAATTTCTATACTACCTATATATTACTACCTGTATAGGAATCTGGGGACTGGGGATCTAGGTAACTACCTCTCCCCTGCACTCTACCCCAGCTCCAAATCATATTAATTAAGTATCCAAACTCCAAACCAATGTTTTGTTTACACTCTTTACAGTTTAGGCAATAAGCCAAGTTGTGAGAAAACCTCCATCAAAAAAATTATTATTACATAATTACCAAAATATTTCCTGTGAAAAACTGTAGAACAGTAGACTTATTAGGAGGCAGTTCTGCCGTTGGGAATCATGAAGAAAGTGCAACTTACTTGTAAATACTAGGTCCCTTTACTTCGTCCAAATCCATGATTGTTATTGTAGTCAAATGCAAACACAATTAACAGGGCTTCGAAAAATATTTAAAAGCTAACTTCTATAAAGATTTATTATATAATTCTTTTCCTTGCGCAGTCAATGAACAGCCTAAGCACAGGTAGGTATCAAAAATTGTGATGACTAAACTTCCTCAACGCAGACACATATCACGCAATACAGCGGCGACCCACTTGATTATACAAATTATAGCTTGCGCTCAGGAGGTCATGTCACACAGCTTTATCACTGCAATGCTCTCGCATTTTTGTCTAAAAGTTCCCGACTGTTCATGTTCAATATATTTCAACATTTGTCAAGAGAGGCAAAAATAATCGACTGGTAGATTAGGTTTCGTAAGATGTACAAGTAGACTTGTCAGGAGGTGTGAATAGTGAAAAAAATTGGACGCGTAAACACCAATATGGGAGCGCAGCCGTGCACCACCAATTTTGTGCACCAATAAGCCCTGAATCGAACGCCTTGGATCTCTCCGAATATCCACCAATCAGCCGTGTGAATAAAACAAATTGTGATAAAGCATCGCATCAAATTGTAGTATATTACAAATGATTATTGCTAGAATTCCACTTAGAGAATACTCAATCGAATACATTTCTTCTAATTCTTTTTCATTTTATACACTTAAATTGTACAACTCCGACATAACTTCTACAATCTACATAAAAATACAAAACAGTAAAAACAGTAAAATGCGCAGTATTTTCAAGTCATCTATACTATCATGTTCGTGCCGCGTGCGTAATCAGTAACTTTACAGTTTACATGAACAGCCAGCACCTATATAACACCTGAATAAATCAGTGTTTATTCAGTCTCCTCATATCAACGTAAGTATCATTTTTTGATGTGGTGTTCATCGGTGCGTTTGAGTACGTATTCTCTACTCGTGTTGGTCCTGGATTTGTGCACGTGTCTCTCCCCATCTCGTCGAGTCGCTGACACTTGGCCTCTCGACTGGGAGGTGCATGAGACTCGAGACTATTATACCAATCGTGCTCAGGGACGTCACTGAAGGCAAGGGGCACAGGGGCTGTGACGGTGGTTACGTTATTTCGTTGGGCGTTAGGCTTGGGAAGTGGAGGAGGTTCTGATGGCATTCCCTCCAAGCGGCGCAGGTCCGAGAGCGTGAACACCGTACTTCGTCGCTGCATGGCGATCTCCTCGTAGATGTCCTCGTCCCGATTTCTGGCACATGCCATCCGGAAGCTCTGTGGATACAAAGATTATCATGATGTTATTTATATACCTACTGATAAAAGTCCACACAAGAGAAACACAATCGATTCTGCAGACACAGGGCGTGAAATTTCTTCAATTGAAAGCAATTTTAAGGCTAAAGCCTCACTGACGGAAATTTATCTGCAGTGAGGCTTCAGCCTTTAGCATTAATCTTTTTTGTGAGGTTGCTGTCAACAACCTCTGGTGTAGAAACCACAGCTTCTACTAGCTCACCGGATGTAGGCTCTAAACAACGCTGAACCGTGGCGTCCGTTGAGGAGCAGCCACTTGCGTACAAGTGACACTTGCGTAATGTTAGCATGAAGTGTGCGTCATCGCATGACAAATCTTTCCTTTGACGTCAGATATGGGAATGTAAGACGTTACATTTTTATTGTATGATTCTTTGCGTGTAGATCTCTCATTTTTAAGTTCTTCTAATACATCTCTTGTCATATCAAATCTTTTATTCTTACTTCTTATGATAAAATTTTTCGATCTAAATTTGGTTAGGCACGAAAACATATGAAACTTACGTGGCGCTTTCTAGTTATTTTCTTGTACATTGAATTAAAGCTTACCTACCGACAAATGTTAATTTAAACATTCTCATAGTGGTACGAAAATCTAAGTATTTCACTTCGTGTACACCAAAAAAATATCATTGTCATGGTTTATTTCCACGCGTTTCACTTGTCGTGGGAAATTTTTATCAATAAATATAATTTCTGCCCCTAAAATATTGATGAATGAAAGGATTATCTCTTAAGAAATAAAATTAAGCAATGTTAAAAATGTAATATGAATAGTGCTAGAGGCAGTAACTGCCTTATGACAATGAATTATCAAGCAATATGAAAATTAGAGCATGGATGGTTATGAAAGAAGTGATAACCTATCTCATGGTAAGGAGTCAAGAAGCAATGCCAAAACTAAAACAAGAATTGTGATGAATTCAGTGGCTTCAATATGGCAATGAGTCATNAATACGAATAATTTGGGACAGCACAAGTTTCACACGGAAAAGTTTTCGCAGTTAGGACGTACACTGCAAAATATAATTATGTGTAATATTATACTGCCACTATAATATGCATCAATGATTGACTCTGAATGCGGCCAACAGATACCTGTCTTCATTATTTTTCTAATTAGATTTTAGATTAGTTTCCTATTAGTTTATGAAGTTAGTATGATATTTTCTATCACTTATGTTGATTTAGAGACTCATCGGAATTCAAACTGGTGTTATAAATAATTGTACAATTAAGTATCGAAACAAAAAAATTAATTAGAGCTGATAGCGTTTGTATAACCACAGTTTTTACTGATTTTAATTTTCTGAGATTAGTGAAGAAATGTGTGAACAAATCTAGATGTTTAATGTGTGTTTTCCTGCATAGGTTGGTCGTATTTTCTGATTTCGAGGTTGCGATACTCATATATAGAAAATATATAAAATATATTTTATATGAAAATATGTGTATATGTAAGATATTGCTCGGCACTGCAACTCATGCCATCAACGAGTTAAGTGATGAGTGATGGCTAGAAATAATTATTAATGTTGACAATGACCACTAGGCACTAACCATGTCTTTTCGGTTCGTTGTAAATCTTTCAAACATGAATTAGGAAATTACATTTTATAATATTCTGTTATTCATTATTGGAATGTATTTTAATGAAGTTGGACAAATTGAAGACTGTCATCTATAGTACCCTAATCGATTGGGTAATTATGAATCAGTTAATTAAAAAGCAAGTTACAAATATTGCTGACCATTCAAGATCGCTTGCACAATTTTCCTCTGATTTAATCACCTTGGACTTAGTGAAGAAGTTCTCAACGTAGCCTGGCCGATCCTGCTTCTTTCGTCTGCAATACACGACGGAGCACGAGATCATCAGCACGATCAGGATGGTACCGACCACCATTGCGACGATCATCCATACGCTGTCATCGCTAAGGTCCAGATCATCCAAAGATTGATAACCATCAGGCAACGGCAGAGCATCATCTGGGAAACAGTCAAAGGACCACTCACCACCACCCTCTCCTGATATCACTAAAGAATCAAACGAGTAAACTTTCCACCACTTCCGTACTTCAACCTCTTTGACCCAGTCACCCTGGACGGTGAGACGCAGCATCCAGTAGTCAAACCAAATGTTCTTGGCCTTGTATGCTTCCGCTACGACTTCTATCCAATCGCTGGATTTTAAATTAAGCTTCTTCAAATCATTGTGATCGAATTCTATCCTAGGTTCGTAAATCTTAGGGTTGCTTGGAGAGAAGGCGTTGTCGAGTCGCAACTGAAGCACAACGCGTCTGAACGTTGCACGGGGACGAACGAAGAATTTTTCCCGTCTGATCGGAATCTCATGGAGGATTTGTTCGCCTTGACCGAGGTAAGTGAGTGTGGGATCACATCTTCCATGTTTGAGGCTGTGGCGCTTCTGCCTTTGATGTTGGGCCTCATTTTCACTTGGCGCACCAATAATATCTGTTATGCACAGCACAAGGACTGTATATAATAAGATGTGTAACTTCATTATTACTAATGGGTAATCTCTATATAAATTTGTAATTGAGTTTTCCGCTATAAACTAGCGGCCCGGCGATGAAGGCTGCTGTCAGAAGACTGACAAGTCATCGCAATACGACCAAGATGTCACCGGATACTGCCAGGGTACTCAAGAAGGACTCACCGGAAACATCCTCTCTGTTCGATCTTCAGAAACATTATCACTCACAATGGACGAATGACGTCATCCAAGGCAGGTAATTTGGCAAACTATAAGGGTTTATCCAATACTATGAACTTTGCTGCTATGAACTTCCTAGTATTTTCATTCATTGCCCCCAAAACCCCTAATTAGCGTATGGTACGTAGAAACTGCTATTGTGTGCTAGTTGCTCTTGTTCGAGGGCTGAAATTATTTTGAATGCTCATAATTGCTTACTTTGAATTTATATTAATAACTTGTGACGACCTGTTATTTATACAGGGTTTAATACATAGACAGAAGAACTGAAATAAAAGCGTCATCATTTTCCAACCTCAAAATCCAAGCCTCGGGAACTGGCTGTACGCTTTATGTTATAACTAAAACACGCTGTTGAACCTTGTAAATGCACGGGAAAATGCCAGGGAATTCGACTCGTGCGAACGGGTTTTCCACTATACCAGGAACTCGTTCATTCTTAAAATCCTGGGTTGATTCCTTAGGTGCCAAGGATACAGTGTAGAAAAACGGTTTCGAGGTTTAGTATTTATTTACCCTTTTTTTCGAAACAATACAAAAATCATATAAGGAACACATTTAAATAATGACTTAATTCATATTCCAAATATAAGTGAATCATGAATCATTTAAAAAATGAATTACTAACGAGTTTTCACCAAATTACTGGAGCTATGGCATAAATAAATCTCAGCTGACTGACTACTCGTAAATGAATTGGCGAAAACAAGAAAGCTTTTACTAAATAGTAGTCGGCCTTTTAGAAATGAAGATGCTTTTAGCACTCATTTTAGCTGTTGTTCCCCGTGCCTACAATCATCTATGTTCCACTTTAGTAGAATGTGAACAATTCTCATGACGATTCGTGCACCGCTCACGGACTCTTTGACTCAGTGATAGACGATGGAGGCCGAACTGTGTACCTAAATTCAGAGGTTCAGACAACAGCTTCAAAGCGTGTGGTAGCGCAGTGACACTCAATATAGAGTGCCGGTGTCAGGATGAAGGAGGATTTCAGGTTATACGAAGGAATAGCCCCGATGGCTGTGCTGCGGTTTGTTCACGTGCAATATATACGACGTTTACGTTCTCCAGTAGCATTTGGATAACTCTTAACGGCACAATAATGAGGAAAAACATCTCATTTTTCACTGTAAATATATACATATACGTACGTTGCGCTGCCGACTAGAGAAGTAGCGTGCATCGCAACAGATGGTGTGCATCGGTCTGTTAATATCAGTATTCAGCCGGTTCCTGAGCAAACACAAGGGCAACGTGCACAGATAAACGTCAAAAAACTGGAAAGGCCGAAGAGGACTAAATTATAATTCGTCTTCGCGTAGTTATGTGAAGGGGCGCATAAGTAAGTTGAAGTCTACCTAAGGCCGTCAAGGAGAACACTTATGCTACTGAAAGAACAAGCAGTAATATTGAGCGTGGTAATTGTCAGAATGGGCGCGTAGAAAGAGGTTCGGTCAAATGTAGCCGGGCAGCATCTTTTCATTAGGGGCTCTATCAAGTGAGACCGTTGCATTCTGAAATCACGATGGAAGCCCGCTGCGTTGAGAAGAAGTATGTTGCGTTTCGGCTGGCTGGTTCATTACCATCAAGGGAATACTAGCCAGTGTCTTACCGATAATAATCCCATATATTACTTTCCTTGTGTTGCCTTCCAGCGCATCAAAATACTTTTCTTGTAGCGTACTCATATTTATGATTTGCATATTCCGTCGGTAAGATATTTTACAATGCATTATCGTAATTTATTCTAATATTGACAATTCTTAAAAATAATACGTCATAGCTCGTTGGATAAATCCAAATGTTTGTATCACTTGAAAGTTCAGGCGGGGAAGAAATTTGCAACATTTTCAAATTAAATTTTCGTGCAACCCGATCGGAATCATTCGGAGCGGTTAAATTTACAAAAAGTTCAGTGTGAGGTAAAGTTCAGATTTGTGAATAATAAAAAAAAACTCTGTCAAAGATTACCACTTTAAAACACGAATACAAGCTAACTGCACCACTTAGGCTTGACATTGGGCTTCATATTGTATTCACCAGCAACCAACTGTTGAAAAAACAAACAGCGCGTCTCGCAAAAGCGAAGCCCGCGCTGATCAAGTAACATCACTTATTTGCATTTTTGACGTACGAGTCGGTGATCGCTGGCTGAATTTTTTACAGGATATTTGCTGAGTTACCCCTGTGAGTTTGTGATCCTGTCGAGCTATGTAAAAACTTCAATTGCGTTGCCTCTGTAACACGTACGATTAAAGTTATGGAGCGTGTATTTTTACAGTAGTTATGCATCTTCTGGTGCGACTAGTGAAGTTTATATTATATAATTACAATAATGTTTATAGTTATAGAGGAAGTTTCAGAATAGGATCTTTCAATTTTATTACTAGTGTTCAAAATTTTGAAGCATGTAATTCATTTAAACTCTTACATCATTTTGCTAGAAATTTAGTTTCAGAGTCAAAGCTCGAATCTACTTCCTTCGTAAAAATAAAATTATTTAGCGTGTTTGAATTATTAATTCCGCCATCAAAGTAATTTGATTAGTACACAACTTCACCAGACTGATATATAATTGTTGTTTGTTCATTTTGTTACTTCATTCATATCCAAATTACTAGACTTTAAAGCTATATTTAAGCCAATCTGAAGAGCTGCAGCTGGAGAATTTCAGTGAAGAATTTAATACCTAAACTCCAGCAATTCTGCTATGAGGCGAGGCGATCACATGCGGTCGCAAAAAGGTCTGGCTTTGAGCCGTATAAATAAACGCGCTTGCGTGTCCCCGCACGCAAACGAGGCTATTGGCCCGATCAAAAACTTAAGATTTACGGCCACAGATTCTACCGACAGTTGAAGACCAAATTGGTAAGATGTGGACATTCTTTTTAATTTTGGGGCATACATACGCGCCAACTTTTTATTCAGAAACTGTCGAAATTGTCTATTGGTGATTCGACATATATGTACGTGAAATGTAATAAAGATTGGCAGAGGCAGCACAATTTTTTTGATAGATTTTATAAGTAGTTGTTTCCTATTTCAGTAGTCATTCATCTTCTTGTTTTAACCGTTTAGAATATCGATTCTATTTTGCTATAAAATTTACATGATATAAATTGTAATGATGACACAAAATTTTGTAAAGACATGAGCTGCCATGATGCATGCATTTCAGGAATCGAGTTTGTTGTTGGGTTGATAATTCTTTTGTCGATCATTAGAAGTTCTGAAGTAGAGAAGGTAACAAGATGTAAGCAGGAATTAATAACAGGAAGAAAATTCGGTAGACACGAAACATAGTAACAAAATCTTGTGTAAGCTTATGACATTAAACAAAAAATTAAGTGAAGTATTAGCACAGTAGACATGACGTTCAGTATAGACTATAAGTACAGTAGACATGACGTTCAGTATAGACTATAAGTGAAGTAGACATGACGTTCAGTATAGACTATAAGTACAGTAGAAATGGAGCTCACTATTGAAGACAGGTATAGTTCAGTAGCCATGCAGTTCATGATTTCTAGTTTCATTTGCCATGCAATTCATTAGTAATGAAATAATTAAGCCCTTCGTGAACCGGACATTATATGTTGTCAAAACCTTCAATGCTGATTGGCTGTTCTCAACAGGCCCCACGTCCCCCAACCCCCCATTCCTCATGAGGCCGTGGACAATCCCCCACTCCCCCACCGGGGAGAGCTTCGAGGCCCCCAGCGACACCCCGGGGTGCATCTCCGTCGCTGTGTTCCCGGTAATTTCTTGAATAATTAATATTTTGCGATTCACATCCGTAAAATAATCACACAATGGCTTATATTACCTGCACGTAAACTAACACCTTATCTAGACCGGAGGAAACATGTAATATAAAATTTAATTATTTTTGAAATTAATGAGATAATAATAAACTAATATCACTTGAACGTGAAGTGATTTTTTTGGCCCGAAAGGGACGCGGTTGGAAAAATTATAATTTGTAATTGTTATTTCGTTGGAACGTCGTGCGATATAGGTAAACAACGGATAATTGATAACAGTGATTCATTTCCGTACGATAAGTTAAGTAATTTCTAGGATATTTTTTGTTCATTTTTATTGATTACCATATTTTACAGTGGAGCAGTTAGAAATTTTTCACGACATCTTTGTGCACTCTTTATGTAGTTGTCAAAATTACGCAGGTTTTGTTTTATACACAGAAATGAATGGATTAATCTTATTCTCATTCAATATCTCTTTCTTACATCAATAATCATATTTATTATAATTATATTCAGACCCCACAAGCGCTTGTCAATCTGAACACGAAGCCGTACTCGGGCGCCCACGTCGAAGTATTCAGGATAATTATGCACGCTCTGAAATGGTGGTGAGTTCGGGAAGTCGCTACACAATTAAAATGTATCCCATATTAATATATATATCTAAATCATATCCCTAGATGAAAACAGGGAAGAAGGCCCCGGAGGTGGGGAGTGGAAGCAGGTGTCTAAAATATGGAGTGTGAAAGCGCTAGATAGAGTGGAAGACGGTGTCTAAAATATAGTGTGGGAAAGCAACCCTGAGGTGGGGAATGGAAGGTATCTAAAATATAGTAAGACATCCCTCGAGGGATGATAAGTGAGATAACTCGTACAGTCGGGCAAAAAGTATCCGACACAAAAGAAAAACTTTATTTAATTAAAGCTTATTCGAAAAAATAATATTAACAAAGATAATTTTAATGTAAATTTACATGAGAAATACAAATATCATATCAAAACATCAAAATAACTAAATATTGACTCGAAAATTGCAATTATATCGGTGAGATAACCTTGATACTGCAGCCTGCGACAATTGGTTTAAACTTC